CTTGAGGCGCAAGTACAAGTGTTTCCTGTCAATCACGGCTGCATAAAGATGCTGACCCCTGGCATTCGTGGGGCAAAAACAAATCGTTCACCTGCCTCTGCAGCCCAACCTCTGGGTGAGAACGGAAGACGGCAAGAGCTCAGAAAAAATGATGGAGCGCACTTAAAGTGAGGAGTTGGGAGAACGTGAACAAAAAAAAGCAGAATCTTGCAACATCAGCACACACAGTCACACATATGAATAAAAGAAGGGAAATGTGAATAAAAACAAACACTGGGAAGAAAAAAAGACGCTTTCATTTCAGTTAATTGCAGCTTGTTCCAATCAAGCTTCACAAGACTGTCTCTTTGGTTTACTTGCATTTACAACAAAAACCTAAAACAAAAACGAACCTCGCTCCTTCGCATGTCGACACCGACGCTAAATAAGGCAGAGCAGCTAAAAATGATCAGTTCTTCACAGCTCAGTTCACATAATCAAGAACTCATTTAGGCACCAGATCTATCCAACAACTGGAGCACAAACATCGACAGCACCTGAAGCCTCCTCCTCGCAGCGGCGTCTGAGCATGTGCCAGAAAACAACAGATGCCACCAAAGCAAATGTTGGAAGTGCAGCGCTGGGCTAATGACGGGATCTGCAGGCCGTTTTCCAGGTGACTTATGTCGCTGCGTCTCAGCCGGGGGGCGGGGGGATGAGCGAAGCCCCATCGATCCGGTGTTTTGCAACTCCATCGATCCTACCACACGGATCCTAGCAGTCGTGTATATAGGTCAAGCCAAAGCATGTGGGTTCGAGTTTAATTAATGCTAACGAGCAAAGGACTAAAATAAACAACCGACTGGGACCTCCTCCATCTTACTGGATGTCAAGATTGTTCTGTGAGGAAACGGAGCATCGCAGACGCCCGACATGCTCGGTATGACTGGTGTTCATTAAACTGAGGTAGGCCTGAATGTTTTAGGAAAATAAGAACTGTTCAATTAATGAGATTTGCCCACACACTGCTGCGGGGGGAAAAAACAACTTTGGATTATTTGGAGGATATGCAGCAGAACAAACATATCAAAGGTCATCAAGTCAAAATGGTTCGATTGTTTACACGGCATCCAAAGAGACTGGAAATATGTGTCCATATGTTTAGAAATAAATGCAAAACCGTGATGTGTGCCACAAATGTGACTTTCTTTCCTCCCTCTTAACTTGCTGATTATTTCCCCCCTCAGTGCTCTAATTAAAGACGAATCATTCCATTTAAAAAAGCTGAAAATATAAAAAAAAAGTGAAAACTGTTTTTTCTGTGACACCACAGTAGAGGAGAAACCGGAAGGTGCTCATTTATCTCACTGCTGCACCCTAATGCAGAAATGTGTCAGCAGAGGGAGAGGGAGAGAGAGGAAGGGCGTCCCTGGAAAACACAACAACATATCTTTCACACATCAAAGATCGCAGCCTGGGTATATTTCACCAGTTTATTATCTCTGACTGATGACATGGCTTCCCACAGGCTGAATAGGAGACTCATGTTGAATGGATTTGACTGAAAAATGATTGAAAAGCCTCACTGCAGTTAATTAATGGCACTGGGCTGTGCTGATATAATGAGAGGGCCGGAATCCTATTAAGCTTAAGGTACACAAGGGTTGGAGATAAAGGCTTTTAGAGGGGAAAAAACTCATGAGCCATTATTATTCTAATATGTTCTCATTTATTTTAACCCGTCGTTCTATTCTAGAAAAACTATCAGCTTCATGGACTTCAATAACACTTTTAATAATTAGAAGAAAATTAGTAGTCTGTAAGAGTAAATGTGACTGAATTTAAAAAAAAAAGGTTTTGTCGGCTCTAATGGCTTTTGTCTGACAGGACGGACCGGGCCGAGACTCGGACCTGTGACAGCCGCCTGGGCCGAGACTCGGACCTGTGACAGCCGCCTGGGCCGAGACTCGGACCTGTGACGGCCGCGTCAAAGGCTGTAATCACACTGCGGCCTGAAGTGACCCGATTCTGATTTTTTTTTTTTTTTTGTCAAATTGGATTTTCTTGGCCTGGTCGTTCACACTTCCAAATAAATGCGACGCGTATTTGTTCTCTGGTGTGAACGGGCAAACGACCTAAAAGTGTCCTGCATGCGCAGTAGAGGGCGCAATAACGTCAGTGTGTGTGCTCAGCGTTCTGCCATCAGTCTCTGCTGAACAATGCAGTCGTTTATAACGACTCCATGAAATGGACATGCATCAGTTTTGTTAGAACTTTAATTTTTAAAGAGGTAATAAAACCCATGTGGTTCTGTACGAATTCAGATTCAGTTTGTCTAAAGTTACATTAGGAACAACATCTGTGTGTGTAACACACCAACTATCATTAGTATCATTTGTACTTAGCATACATTATACTAGTGTCATTATTACTGTTAATTATAACCTTTCAGGAAAGTAAAAAAAAAAAAAAAAAAATCATCTGGATTTTGAAATGCAGAGTTGTACTTAAATTTTAAGTGCCATTTTATTTTAACTATTTGAAAGAAACATCAGTTGATAAACACTAAATTTAACATCTTATATTTCCCCAGAGGCAGCAGTCATCAACAGGAAGAGATGAATCATTACAGAAATAGTTTTTCCACATGTAGCAACATTCACTTTGCAATATTCAGTGTTATTTAAAATACATGTACATTTGTCTGTCATGCCAGTTTGGTGGTCTGCTTAGCTCGCGATGCCTTGGGCCGGCCCTGGCAGTGACCTTAATTACTTTTTCATCATTGCAAAACAAAGATATGAACAAGACACAACATCTATATAGTAATGTTTTCTGACGTAAGGCGGTAGTAGGAAAAGCGTCGCGTCAGCAGCAGCAGCAGCAGCTGAAGCCGCGGTGTGACTTTCAGCTAACGACGTAGCGGCCGACGCCGAGGCACTTCATTACCAAGCTGCTCCGCCGCTGGCCGAGGCAGCTACTTAAAGTAATGGGAGAAACTGTGTCCTGCCACTGCTCTCTCTCTCACACACACTGCCTGCATACTTCATTACCCCCACCGCCACGAGTTCCTGCTCTTCCCACAATCGCTGGCTCCCATCTCTTACTAAAAAACAAAGAAAATTCATTTCTTCTTCCTGCACCTTTGAAACAAGACTCGTGCCTCTGTTAACGTCACCTCTGATTAATGGCGTGTGAGAGGAGAAGCAGGGACCCGGAGGGATGGGGAAGAGGCTGGGTTAGAAAAGGTGCAGGGTGTTAGATAAGTAGTCGGCGAACAACTTACATGGAGAGTTTAATAAAGCTTCACGTTGGAGAAGAAGAGAGAAGAAAATGACGAAATGGCCTCAAATGAGAACTTGTTGCAAATGTGTTTGCCCTTTGTAATCCAACATCATGACAAATGGGCCTTCTTTTATCTTATCACACAAAACATGCAGTTGCCCCGTTTCATCCATGTTGTACACAACTTTTGACACAAACTTCAACATGTCTTACTGGGGTTTTATGTGGTTTAATTATGAAGCAAAACGCTTTGGTTGGTGGAAAACTAACATTACAACCAAACAACGCGACATGGTTGCCATGGGAATGCTTTTCTTCAGCAGGGACAGGGAAGGTGAATCGAGATGAAGGGAGCACTATAATGGAAGAAAACATGTTGGAGGCTCCTAAAGAGTTCAGACTGAGGTTCACCGTGCAGCAACTCTTAACATGCAACCATAGCAACAATGGGATTACAGTCAAAATCCAGAACGAAAGCCAGTTAAGAATCTGTGGCGAGACTTAAAAACTGATGTTCACTTAGCTTAAAGTTACAGCATATAATTTTAATAAAGAATATGTTTTTCACGTATTTAGTAAAACAGTCACCATCTCGTGGTGTCAGACAGATAATCTGTGAAAAAATCGATCTCCTCCAAGTCCTCCTTGAGCTACTGTTACCATCTGAAGAAATACACCGCTCCTGACCAAAACACAACCAATCAGAGCCAGGAGGTGGGTCTTAGCGCTGTCAATCAAACTCATGTACTCGCTGCTCAATGTGCTAAATGAGGAGAAACAGCTTAGCGTTACAGGACAACCTTTTATCCGCCGTCATCAGCGGCCATGCTAACTAGCCTGAGCAAGGGGGGAAAAGGGAAGAGCAGCGCCACATGAGAATCTGATTGACAGCGCTAAGACCCGCCTCCTGGCTCTGATTGGAAGCTGCTAACTAGCACTGGGAGCACTGGAAGAAGGCAGAGGAGATGCTATAAAAATTACATAAAGCAGCTTTAAGGTATTTTGCAAAGAAAAACAGGCAGAAGTGTAGTTTCTATAGGTGTAAAGCTAAAGATACAGTGGAAAATACAATGCATGCCAAGTTTTTAAGATAGCAGTTTGGAAAATAAATACATTTTCCCTCTGCTTCACAGTTTTGTACCCTTTTAAGTTGGTCTGCTACATAAAATCCAAATGTGACACACTGAAGTTTGCCATTCACATTTGTCAAAATGTGAAAAAGTTCAAGGGAAATGACGACTTTTGCAAGACAAAAGTCGTCACGAATATATCCATTATGAGTTAATGTCTCAATACTTTCACACTTAGACCACGAAATCACATCCAACTAATCCTTTAATTGTCTGATCAATGCCTCTAGAGCTATGGAAACGAGGCCGACAGTCGATCTGGCCTTGGGTCGGGCCAAACGTCCGCCGGCCGATGCGCACCATTGATCAAGGCGCGCCACTCTACAAACTAAGGATTAAACCATTTATCTGCAGGCTCTACCTTGAACCCTTATCCTGACCCTCAAGCAAACCTGGCATGAGACACAAAGCAACAAAAAAAACAAAAAGCCTCTGAGGAGTTTCAGAACATCCATCACGGAGCTTAAAGGAAAGGCGCACAGGTTTCTGGGAAGCTGAAGACGCACAAACACACCACGCAGCAGAGATAAGATGGGTTGTTACAGCACATCTCCACGGGGACGAGAAAACGGTGGAAGGAGGCCCCATGCATCAATATTGTCTTACCTCGTGTTTTGCCAGCCAAAGTCTCATCCCAGCTTCTCAGAAGTAGCATGGTGATGCGGCCTGGGACTCCTCTCTCCCTTTCATAGCCTCAGACTGAGGGAGGCTGGAGGGGAAAAATCAACACGAACCAAAAGACAAGATGAGTATCGACCGGGAGCAGCTTCTGGATTTTTTAAAAAAACGTTCAGATTTATTGATTTTTGCTTAATAACGCTGACTGAATAAAGGCAACACGGCGACTATTGTTAACAGAGTACGGGCTTTTTATTTTTGAAGAGTAATGACCATGGTTTATAAAGAAAACTCTTCTTTTTTATTCTGCTTTTTGTGTTTGCTTTAACCAGCTTTGCAATGTTTTCGTCGCCGGTATAAATGGGAGTTCAGATGAAGCAAATCAAGACGTTCACCAATCACTAGGTTTAAGAATGAGGCACAACTGCTTCATTCTTCTATTCTCTCCCCCTCCCCCAAATTCAACCTTTTTTTATTTTTTTTATTTTTTTTTTTTTTGCGTTTTGACCGTAAACAAGGAACGAATCACAAAGAACTTACAGCCGTTTTAGGTAAAATCCTCAGACGGTCAAAGGAGCAAAGCATCAATGTTGAGGTAATTGCACTCCACTGGAGCGGCGTCACTTCTCTTCCTCGGAAAAAAGATGCTCGGAGAGTCTTGTTTTTCTTACGTCTGCCACTCTGTTATTGCAAAGGGAACAAGGAGGACAGAGGGTTAGGAGCAGGCCACGCTCATTTGAGACTCTAATAAGGCTGCGATGTGCTTTGGCATGGTGTGCAGTCTCCAATCGGCTCTCCTCAGGACGAATAAATCTGGTTAAATGGGTGGAGCGAGTTAAAGTGTACAACTGAGAAGTTAAATGTCCGACTTAGTTGAACTGGGTTCCTGTGCAGCTTTGACCAGGTTTGAGTGTCGTGATTTTTCTAAAGCTGGATATGTGTGGGAAAATAAAATATGAGTATGGAAAAATATGAGCTTAATTGTATTCTTTTATTTCAGTATCTCCGAGTTTAATAACCTAGAGACTAATCTTTTTGTTGTTATATATATTTAGATCTTCACGGTTATTTATGTGTTTTTATCCAACTCACTGATTATTTCTGATTACAGCAAAACAAAAACATTAAAAAGGGAATTTTGACTGTTTTTGGTTTTCTTTTTCCTCCAAGTACTTTATAGTGGCTGCAAGGTTCATGAACTGATACTAAAAGTGAAATTGAAATAGTTTCTCATTTTGTGACACAAATGTATCACTTGTCACAAATTGTAACTAAAAAAGATCTGTATTTCATCTAATATTGCAGATTTCACCTTCTTAAAGTTTGACCTGAAAGTCAAAAGAAAAATCTGGAAGATAACCGTATGATGTTTTATACTTTGTGGTGAAAAAAACAAAACACAAAATAAAGCCCAACTAAGAGAATGGTTTGTACTGAAATATTCATTATGTCATAAAAACTGATGACCAAAATAAAAAAAAATCATAAGTATGAAGTTTTGAACTGTAAATCTTGCAGGATCTCTGGTTTCAGAATCATTTTAAATTAGTATCTCCAAAAGGCGGTAAAAGTTAGCGGGAAAAGAAAACTAAAAAGAAAGAAAGAATCTAATAAAGCCGATACACATCTCATATTTAACAAACAAAAGTAGAAGAGCGTCTCAATCTTAGAGGCGTGTTTGAGCCATACTTTAGGTGAATAAATGATTAAGTGAAAAATGTTAATGAATAATGAACCAGTCTCTGCGGGGTAACAGATTGTTCTTTTCATATTTAATAGATTGATGGGCCTCACACACACAACACAGACGAAAACACACAGGATCGCAAACACGTCGCCTCACAACGAGCGCGGCTGTTTTAAAGCGTATTAAAGCAGAACGTTTTTCAGCGGCCACTTGAAGCTCAGAGGCATTTGTCGAACCTTTGTTCTTAGCTCGGTCCTAATCTTGTAAAGAGGCCTAACTGCATTTCTGTGCACTCTGTGTACATCATTTCTCATGGACAGCGTCTCTGTCGATGCGAGTCCTCTTAATCAGCTCAGATGAATTATTGAACAGCCTTTTTATATCAGATCATGACCCATATTCTGTTTTCTTGACGTGAATATACAGCCAATAAAATCCAGATGGACATTTTTTCCCCTCCCTCTTTTTGGAGTTGTCCCACACAGGTTAGCAGCTCTGTAACGGGTGAACGGGATTGAGACGCGAGCGGCCCCGTTTTACGAGCTTCAGACGGAGCTCTGCGGACTGATTTTCTCATTTAGAACAAGATGATGGATGGGGTCGTCTCGCAGCGCCGCACATAAAGTGAATCCGAGGTGTTGGGGGTTTGAAGCTCGCTCTCCGCCGACGGTTCTGCCGCGCACTGTCAGAAGCGGCGGTGAATTAGGATCCTGTGATCCCTAGATGGCACAGAGTGGAAGTCAGTGGAATACAAAACACCTAAGCGGAGGGGTTACCGCTGGCTCTGCCGAGGCGGGCGCCGCGCTCGGAGCCACAAACAGGAGTTGCTTTGTTGTCTCATTAAGCAGCAGAGAGGCAGAGTGAAAATCAGTAGGAAGAGGGGATAGGATTATGAATCTCCTTAGCCCCTGCTGTCTTCTCTCCATCCTGTTTATCAATGAAGACTGCAAACGCGGCGCCTTTAAAATCTCTCAAAGGGAGAGTTCGGGATTGTTCAAGGTTAAAGGTTGGGAGCAGTTCATATTTTGCCTGCAGACAGTAACTCTCTCGCATCTTCATTTTGCATAAATTCAGAGGAGTTTTTTTTTTTGCCCCAGATGCTGAGGCTAGCTTCTTTCTAGCCAACAGTTAGCTGGTCTAACTGAGGCCAAGACTAAAGTGGAGTTTTATCGCTGCAACAAACTCCAATTTCAACAACGTTGCTGCAGTCTTTGCAGATATAGTTTCAAAACCTTCAAACTTGGAACTGGACTGTTATTCACAGTTGAAAGGAAGCTAGGACGTGGTGCGCCACCAGTGACTTTCCCTGTGAAACACTAGTTCAAAACTGAACATGTTAAGCTTTTCTTGGCAAAAGAAAAGTAAAATATGCAGAGTAGAAATCAATACAGTAAGGTTTGCTTGAACTGCTTTGACCTTTTTAAGATAGAAGTTTGCTTTGATGTTGCTCTTTCAACGATCTGTTGGGTTTAGTTGTGAACTTTTTCAGGTTCACTCCTACTAAATCAAAATAGTCTAGATCAGCAAAAACTATACGACCCTTTCAGAAAGCACAGCTTTCCACGCTTTGCTAGTACAGATTAAAGAAGCGTTTGCTTTAAAGTTAAATGTCAAGTCCAGATGACTCAAAAGTGCTTTTTGTTACATTCAGTCATCCATTGATGCACACATTTACACGCTGAAGCCACAAGCAAAACAGACTGACATGGGGTTCGAACCATAGTAAACCTTTATAGGAACTGACTGAATACGTGTTTTTAACAGGATGTTTTAACTTTATGCAGAATGAAGAATAAACCCCATACTATGTGATCTACTGATAAAAAACAAAAACAAGCTTCAACAATTGGAAAAAAAAAAAAGAACTGTCCATATACTTCTAATGGGGAACTTCCATGCAGACAATGAATGAAAGTTCAGGGGGAAAAACAACATGAAAAACATTTTCCATCTTTGTTTCTAAAATCTCCGGTAAGATCAACAGAATGTTTTGACAAACTTATTGAGACTCACTTTGGGCTACATCTGAACCTACAGGTGTTGACCCCCTAGTCTGGGAATAAAACTAATCAGTTTTATGCTAAATTAAGAGACTAGAAGAAAACTATATAAACGCTTCAAACCTTTTAGCAAAACCACACTAAAATAATTCCTATCATTTTCATCTAACAGATGTATCAGAGTGGCTCAGTTGTTGAAACACCATGGATTTATTGTTTAGACATTCATCCATCATTTGAAATAAAGTCCAAACAATTACTGTAGTGTCAAATTAGTAGCTAGCATCTTTGTTTTCTATAAATCAAGACTAGTTTTTGACCTGGAAACTAAACCTTGTCCCTCTCAGATTAGCATTTAGCTGTTTGCTAGTCAACTATGGGCCAAATCTAAACATCTTACAAAAATCCAATCTCAAACTTCATAAGGGTTCATGCAAATTCAATTTGGTTTACAGTTTTAGTTTTCATGACATTTGGATTCGATGGTTATGTACACCAGAAATGGAGGAAGGAGGTCGTGCATCATCAACGATCTTCCCTATGAAACATGCTTCGAGAAAGGACAGTGTTATGCTTTTCAGCATCAGCGTAACAATTTGGTAGCAAAGCATTGTAGGGTAGAAATCTACAAAAATGTATTTGCAACAATATCCGACTTGTTCCTTTTTAGATTGAAACTTTTAAAAGTGGTACAAGTCTGCTTAGTCTAAGTCCCTGTCAGAAATGGTGTTAGCTTAAGTGTCTGTGACAAGAACCAATCTGGATTTAAACAAAATAAAGATACTAATACTCGTAAAGACATTACTATCCCTTTGATCTGATCTGCGATTAGAAACAATTAGAAGATGTCTTGTCTTCAATTGTGAGGAACTGAAAATTCCTGGAAGTCCAGCTTAGTGGCAAACGATTTATTGTTCAATTTAATCGTTGGTAATACTCCTTAAATATTATTCATTTGAAACTGGAGAAAACATTTACTCTCGACAGCGAGACATCAAGCTAAATGATGTAATTTGATACGTATGAGAGTGATTACAATTCGCAGAGAAAACATGCTCCATCCATGGTGTCCAACTCTCTAAAGCTGTATTTATGTCAGCTTACTTCACACCATCGTTGTGCTCTATAGAAATGGTGGATCAGCTAAAGCAGGCGTACGAAATGCCCGTTTCCACCTAAGCTATAAATCTATAAAGTCCACATCAACGTCCATTTTGACTCCACCATTGTCAAGACCGCACGACAAACATTACGCTTGACCATAAAAGACTACCACAGACGGTCTCTGTAGTCATTACGGCGGCGGGCCACGTGTCAGGACGCAGAGCTCGCGCCCGAGTCGTCCGCTTTGCAGCGTGGCAGCGGCGGCGACAGCTCTGACAGACTACCTGAGCTTAAGTACCCATCTGCGGAAAGGCTACGGAGGGTCACATGTGTGCCAGGGAGCAGCTAGCAGAATGGCTAATAGACCCTGAGTTTATGAGAGCAGGTCCCAGGTGGGTTTACAGGCGACGCCACAACCTTGACTGAGCAAAAGCACTCGCACAAACGCACACACACACAAACACACACTTGCGTTGTCAATCCAAATCACGCTGTCAGACAAATGATTGGGAAGTTAATCAGAGAAACAGGGTCAATCACCGCTGCACTTGTGATAGATGGATGGACAATGGGGTCTGTGTGTGTCTGCGACAGGAGAGAGGGAGATGAATGGAATGGGTTTTAATGTGTATTGTGTTGCAGATATAGAGTAGGAATTTGACTCTGGAGTAACATCATTATCACGTCCGTGCTGCTAAAGCAATTTGGGTTTTGTTGGAATAACGTCAGATAAGAAAAATTGCTCTCAGGAAGAGGAAGTGTGCTTTTTTTCCTTCATGTAGATTACTTTATTGATCTACAAACACATCTTCCCGCACCGAGTTGCAGTTTTTTTCTCTCCTTGTCCAGAGCAAGTAGCTGCACAGAGCAAGGGTTTGAGATGGAAATTATTTTGACGTTTGAAGTTAATTTTTTACATGGCCAGACACTCATTACGCTTTCATTTTGATTCTCATGAATTAAAAAAGGAGAACGAAAGGCTGAATTAGTGGAGGAAAAGTAATAAAGAAAGATGAGGAGGTGAAGTTTGAGAGCTATTAATGATGTCAATAATCCACCAGCATTTAGCACTTAGACTGTGACAGGTTTGTAGACACACACACACACACACACACACACACACACACTCACGCATGGATATGGAAAAACGTCGACTTGAAGACAAAATCAGCTCTTCACCATCCAAAAAGCAGCAACTGAATGTGTGGATCCAGATAAAACATACTCACCTACTCGATTCTAAACAATGAAATATGTTAAATGTGTTGAGTTTTTGTAGGATGGAGAACTTAAAATCAAGGTCAACTGACAAAGATGCTGCTTCAGTCTTTAATCCATAGTTGTGAAATCCACTTAAGATTTAAAAGCCGAGAGACAGATCAGCTTCGGTCCTTTGAAAATTGTACAAAAAAACAAAAAAAAAAAAACGAAAAAGAGGAAAAAAAATAAAAATCAAATTGAATACATAAAAGTCCAGAATTTTATTTGTTTTACTTTTAAATATATATTTTTTTGGTCATTCAAAATCTAATCCAGGATTAAAGGGTAATTCCACAGAAAAAGAAAAAAAAAAAACGTCTATATCCAAAGTCCCACTTTTCCGACGTCTTCATTCGGTTTTAAATCTCCTTCAGAAACAGAATGGAAATATTAAAGAACATTTTTAAAAAAAACTGAAAATGAGATGAGTTGTGTGATCTTCCTTCAATGTATGTGTATTTTTTTGCCATTTGTGTGTATGCCTGTGTGCTTTTTGCTATGCCTTTTTACTCCAGATTGTTCTGTTGCCTTGCAGTCAAAAAGATTTTTAGCTCTGTCGTAATTAAAATAATAAAGTTTAATTTACAAAACAAAATTACAAAAATCTTCCTTCTTGATTCTTTTTCCACAGTGAAGAAAAATGAAACAAGAAATAAATCAATAAGTGGGATCAGCGTGTAAGAGATGTGAATGGATGTTGGCAAAGGAGAAGAAATGAGGAAAGTAGGTAAATGTGAAGCCAAAAAAAGTAAAAATAAAAACTCCTTCGGGAAGATTGTTTTTTTTTGTTGTTGTTGTTTTTAAAAGCCAATTATTTTCCTGGTCCATTCTCTTTAGGTGCTTGTGTGTGTCTGTCTGCAGGAATGGGAGTGAGTTCAGTTTGGGAAAGATACGAGACAGAAAGAGGGAGGAGGCAGAGGGGAGGAGAGAGGAAAAGAGGGCATCGAAAACAGAGCCAGAGGACTGTGCAAACACAGATGACGCCCCAGCAGAACAGGCTTTGAAGCGACCGAGTGAAACGGGCCCTTCCAGCTCGGTCTGACCTTCACCTGATCAAACGGGAGGGGGACCCTGTAAAACCCGACGCTTTTCAGCAGATGAAGAAGTTTGGTGTGAGTTTTCGTGTGTGTGTGCGCGTGTGAGAGAGACGAGAAAACAAAAAAGGAACAAACATGTAGACGTGATGAAGCCGCTTTAATGGATACAAGACACTTTTTAAAACGTGACAAAGCAGTCGAATGCTTCACGTCCGTGATGATGGCTGGAGAAGGTTCTTACACGATGAGTCGCTTTAGGAAGAGGGGTTAAAAAAAAGAAATGATGTCAGAAAACAAGGATGAAAGAAGGAAGAGTGACGTCAGGAGGGCAGGAATCAGCTGAGAGCGGGATGGGAGGAGAGCCATGGATCTGCTAAATGTGTGTGTGTGTGCGTATCATTGTCAAGGTGTGCTACAAACACAAAACGCCTCGCACACACAGGAAGGAAACAAAGACAGACACTAAACACTAATCAGACCTACCTATGGTCAGAGTTAGGGATCAGCCAGATAAGATGCATAAGGGGGGAAAAAGAAGGGGGGAAATAGGTATAAAAGTGAAAAAGGCATAAATAGAAAAGACAACAAAAGCTAATTAAAATGACTCTATTAGAGCTGCTTAAAGGAAATAAATAAAACGACAGGTGGAGTCAAAAAAAAAGAAAAAGTAGCCAAAGTTACGGGTGGAGGGGGAGGAGGATGAGGCAGGGAGGAAGGAAGGGAGGGAGGAAGGGAGCGTGGGCTGCACAGGGAGGGAAAGCAATGGAAAGGGAAGGAAGAATGGATGGAGGGGATAAAAGAGGATAAAGAGGGGGGAACAAAAATCCCCCTCCTCTGTCTCTTTCTCCTTTTCTCTGTCTTTCTGCTTCTCTCTCTCTCTCCCTCTCCCTCCTTGTCTGGCTCATAAATGGACGAAATTGTTGACCAGGTAAATGGCAAAATAGATGAGGAGGCAGAGGACCGAAAGAGCGAGCAAATGAAAAGGCAAAGCACCTCCCAGCAGCGCAATGAGGAAAAAAAAGAACAAAAAACGAAAGATAAAAGCAAATACTCCGGTGGCCTCCGTTGTCTCCAGTCTGAGAGTGGACGGGGGGGGATTGGCTGGTGCCAGTTGTTCCCCTTCCCCAGCTTGTCTTCCGCTTTCTTCTCTCTCTCTCTCCCCTGCCAAAAAGCACTTCCCATCCAGATGACGGAAAACCGGGCACAGATGTCCTCTCCGCTTTTTTTTTTTTCCTCTCAACTCTGCTCAGACGCCGCACGCCCCACGCGCAGGCGAGACATTGTTGCAGTGGCAATGGACGGCGTTACCAATATTGCTCGGTGTGAGAAAGAAAAAAAGAAAAAGGAAAAAAAAAAGAGGCATTGTTGGGGGGGAGAGGTTTGGGGAGGGGAAGTTGATGCTGCTGCTGCTGCTGCTAGTCAAGCACAGCCTACCTCATGAGGAAAGATACTGAGCTGGAATTGCTCTGTCTCTCCCCCCCCTCCTCTCCTCTCCTCGCTTGCCCATCCCTGCAAAAAAAAAAAATAAATGATAGGAGGAAGGGAGGTGTGCCCACTCGCTGCATTAGTATTCATTGAAAGAGAGAGAGAGTGTGTGTGTGTGTGTGTGTGTGAGAGAGAGAGAGAGTGTGATATGGGGAAGGTAGAAGGGGGCCTTCCAATAAATGTCGAAGAACCAAACCGGTGTGAAACTAATAAGAGACTGGCTCCCCCTAGAGTCCATCATCAATACACAAGTTTTGGGAAAAAATTCATGTTCAAGAACGTTCATCAGTAGAAAAATTTAAAGTGTTTTGTGCATTCGGATTGTTCGGTGCTGGCAGCATCATGCTGTGGTGAGAAATGAACGTCGATGTCTGACCAAGCTTGAAGGGAAAAGCTCAGATCTACATGGTGGGCCGTAAGTTTCCATATACAGGAGAATGTAAAATGTACATTTCTTTTATATTTCAGATGCCCAAAAAGATGCGTTTGACAAAAGAGCAAAGAATTTAAATTATACTGAAGGCTGAATCAGGAAGCGGTCGTTAGTAAAGGCATGAGCCAATAGACTAGTTACAGCTATTACTGCTAACTTTTTTATACGGTGGCTGATGACAAGTGTATCAGATCTAAGTGTATTAGATCTATATTTCAGATTTTTTTTTTTTTTTACCATTATTAGAAAATTATGTATCATTTTCCTTCCACTCCAAAACTATTCACTACATTCTGTTGGGCTATCAAGTAAAATCCTAATAAAATACATCTATATTTCACGTGTAACATAATGTGAAAAAGAACAAGAAGTGTCAATACGTTTGCAAGGAACTGTATGATTGCCCGACGTCATGGTGACGTTCAAAACGATTTACTGCTCGGTGTAAAAAGAACTCGTGTAATTAGTTTTCTCTCCCTCTACTTTTCGGGTTTCGACGCACTCCGTCTTGTTGAACTGGAAAGCATTAAAGGACTTCTGCTTCGTGTCTGCATGGCTGTGAAAACAAACTGTCTCGTTTGCATTTCGCCCTCAGCCAAACCCAGTGTTGCCATGCCGATAAATTCATCTCCATGCTGGTAATGGCTCTCAACAGACCGCTGTGCTTTGTTTTTCTTTCAGTTTCTGACTTTTTTTTTTAAGCAAATGATCATATAACATGGCACACATCGCAAACCACAAGCCTGCCTGCATGCCTGTATCATTCTTATTTTCCAAGTCGTTTTTGTATCCGCATGTTGCCATACTGTGGCTTTTAACTTTGGCCAAAATGATAACGTGCCAACTAATGTGTTTTTTAATACAGATGTAACAAATGGAGGTTTTATCTGTTTTTAAATTTTATCATTGCATTGAATTTTCAGAAAAGAAGGATACTAAAAGTACAATTGACAATGTTTTAGTTCTATTTTTCTTGTCATTGGATGCCTTTTGTTTCCTTTAAACAACATTTTACACAAATATGAACAACCCACATGAGAAAATGTATCCTCTTTTTGCATGTTTTTCTTTATTTCAACACCTAAAATTTCAGATAAAATGGTGGCTGTTTAAGGAAGAGCATCATAGTAGATATCAAAAATTGCGATTTGTCTCATGTAACATCTATGGCTGCACAGCTAATTATGAGTAAAGCTATCAAAGAAAGAAATTACTTGCTGCAGAAGCCAGAGTGCCGTTGTGTTCATTATATGTGAGATGCCGCCATCTTGTGGTTTGCAGACAGAATGGCAGCGCTGGGTTTGATTGGGAATGTCTGGCTGCCTTGAGCTGCTCGACTTCGGTACATCGTGGAGAGATGGCGATGGCGTCGCTGTCATCTCCTCTAAGAGTCTGTAGAGGAATATTGAAAGAGTTACGTACCATTCAAGGACCGAGTTACAAACAGTCGCTGGCTTATAACTATGTTATAGATCAGTTTCGCAAGAATAAGGTGAGTTTAGCCCCAGCTTAGCAAAAGGCTAATATTAGCTAGGCTGCTACCAGCATCCTTCAGTCTTATAACATATGCCTAATATGTCGTATTAAGCATTTGCTAGTTGTCAAAACAGTAAATTATATGCTCTTGAATCATTTACAAGCAAGGCTATAGAAGGAAAACAGAACCTGACACGCACAGGCGGTTGCCGTCAAATAATAAAACATTTTTAAAAAGCAAGGTGAGTTGTTGTGAAGGGCATGCTAACATTAGCCAACTGCAGTCCTCGAGCGCCACAGTCCTGTAACTTCTTCGATGCGTCCCTTGTCGTACATACTTGCATTAAATGACCAAACTGCCTCGCTATCAATCTACTGTATGTTAATTAGCTAATATTGGAGCCAGGTGTGTTGAAGCAGACATGTAAAAGTTGCAGGACACTGGCCCTTGAGGACTGGAGTTTGAGACCACTAGCTACCCGTTGAATTAACTTTATTAATGACTGCCGTGCAACTTTATAGATAGGTTATTTGCTTGTTAATTCAGTTATAACAATTTGCTGTAGATAATGGAGAGAAAAATATAAAATTTTGCTCAGGACATTTTATTTAATGTAAAACTTTAAGGACACCTTAATAGTAATAATAATGCATAATAATTAATAAAGCAAGGTTTCCCCCAGAAAACTTGCTAAGCCCGTTGGTTAGGGCGCTCAGCAGTCATTCATCCAGTGACCTGCTGGGTTTTTTTAGTTAAAAAATGTTTACAGTTGACAGGAAATTTGAACATGTCATTTGATAATTATGTGTGGTTGGGTTGATCAATAAATGAACACCAACTGTAAAGTCTTAAAAAATGCACAAAAAAAACAAACAAAAAAAAAACTTCAATAAATGAGCAATGCTAATCCTGGTGGGGGCACAAGTAACGCCCTGTGGCCCACCAGGCTTATAATACACTGGGAGAAACCCTGAATAAAGGAATGTGTTTATCCGCAGTAAAAAGTAGATACCTCCTCAGTAGATACCTGTTTTTGTGCCGTTTAATGTTAAATAAAATGATGATTTGATAGTTTATTACAAAATAATAGTTCTAAGCTTGTAATTACATGTTTATCTCTGTTTTTACCGCAGCTCTATTTCACATGAGACTTTCAAAAATCACTCCACATTGTCCAGAATGCATCAGTGTGTGTGTGTGCTGTTTGCCATGTAGGCTTAGAGCTTGCATTATTAACGCTTGGGAGAACATGGCTCAGCAGGAATACTGAATGCATGTCTTGTCACTGAAGCAAAACAGCTTAAAGCAACTCTTCTAGTCACGTCAAACTGTGCATTGCTCTCTAGGTTCTACAGTGTACATTAAAGTGTCTAAATGGACCGTACTCTGTGCTATTGTACTTACAGTGGTAGATGGATGTCAGAAAGTTCTTCATTGCGCTTCCCTTATTTGCCTGAAGTGTACTCACTCAGTTATTCGTACACTTGACGTTTTTGCATTTTCAGAACTTCATGAGTCGGAATACCAACTCGGTCACAAGTCAGACCATTCTTATGGTTTCATCCCACGCGTCTTTCTTTAAAGTGATGGAAATTACTGTCATTTAATCGTTTTTCCTTATCGCAGGTTACAGGGGAAAGGTACTGCAGAGCCCAGCAGGAGGCGCACCACGCCTCGCTCACATACCTGTGTTTGCTGACGTCCACCAGGAACCACCTGGCCCTCTATAACCTCTACCATGGCAAGGGAGAGCGCAGCCCAGAAGAAGTGGCGGGCCTGGTGGGGCTCAGGCTGCCCACGCAGCCAGGAGGGAAAGGCTGGGAGAAGTAGGGACAGTGGAAAGTCAGTCAGCAGGAGAAAATCAGGAAACTCTCCTGGAATTACATCTAAATGGACAGTGGATGGATTGGCTGCCTTTGTGTAATTTAAACTCCAGAGTTTGCTGGTTGTGGCATTGTGGACTGAGGGAACTTGTTCTTCATTCTCCTGAGCAACAGTTGTTTGAAACGAGGGGGAAAAATGTGAACTGATGAAATAAAAAATAAAAGTCAGCTAAAATATAAAACTTGTTAAAACCTTTGTACTCAACAGCAGCACCTCAAAAACACTGAGTATCCCATTATGTGGTATATGTCATTTAAAGTTAATCCTATAAACGGTGATTAATACTTGACTGTGTAAATAAAACTTTTGTTTTTTTGAAGTTGTGTGTTAATGTGTGCATGAACAAACAGGCTAAAATAAATGACCATCAATATTTAGCTAATTGTCCAATTTATTATTTGGCTTTCAATGCCAATATCTCAATGAGAAAATTGAGTTTTAGGATATGACCTCAAACTTTTTTTTTTTTTTTGACAACAAAAATAAAAATATGCATATTTCATTCATTCAGAAAATGCAGTTTCTTATTTGTAGCCAATATGTCCCTTCAAAAGTATTTATCTAAAACTTCTTTTTGAACTATATTGTACATGTAAACGTGTATCCATGCATTACGGAGAAAAATGTTTCTTAGGTTTCAGAAGACAACAGTTAATAAAAACCATCTTGGTAGTTATTTTGGACTTAAACGTAAAGAATTTTCTAAAAACTGATGGAAAATATTGAAAATGATGTGTAGAAGCTTGAGATGGGAAAACTGTAGAATCCTCACCAGCTAGCTAAAACTGTTTTATTTGTATGTTAGTATTCCTTTACATGTAGCTTTATAATTGCTTCCAAGAAAAATAAAGGAGCAGATAATGAAATTACATTTAAAAAAAGAAATGCTAAAATGGTAATTCAACACTAATAAATAGTGAATACCTAATAAAGTAATCGTTGACCTTCTAGAAAAACCTACAAAAACAGTTTGTGTTCATCTCTGCTTTTTGGAGAGTTGGCTCCAAACCCAAGTACAATGAAGCATGGTGGTGGCTGCATCATGCTTCTTTTTTCTAGCAGGGACAGGAAAGATTAGTGGAGCTGATTCAAAGATGGACAGTGAAGACACAGCCAGAGCTGTAATGGAAGGGTTTAGCTCAGAACATATGTGTTGGAATGGTCCAGTCAAAGTCCAAAATTAGAAAAGGCATACCTAAAATGATCTGCAACTGTAAATAAATGTAAAGGCCTGAACTTATTTGATTTCTGTCACTGTAAACTGTATTTTATGTCAGGGCACTTTGTGATTAATTGCTCTGATGTTATTGAAAGAGTATATTTTAAAATCAAAATTGTATTTTTTTTTTTCCCCAAGAAGCCCTCATTTGCAAACAGTTGTAGCATGCAAAAATAAAAAACTATAAATTTTTGCCACACACTTTTAGAGGCATTGGCATCTTTTTACATGGACCATATGGGCAGTTGTGGAGGCTGAGAATGAGACAATATAATGTAACATTTACAGCCTGTTTTTATGGATGTGCAGGAAGAGTTTCACCCCTGTGCCAACTCTAAGAATGCATAGTCTATATTGCTGAAACTCCAGAATCAACCAGGTTGCCATTCATGATGCAGGAAGTGCCTCTGTTCCCAGACCTGCTCTCTCAAAAATCATCCCTCCCCTCCCCAACCACCATCACATAATTCCACCCTTTCCCCCCCCCCCCTCTTTTTTTTTTTTTTTTTTTTTTTTTTTTGCTCTTAGTGTGCAGCGGTGACTAACGTTGCCTTCAGTGTGAATTAAAATAGACTAACCCTGCAGCAAAGCAAGCTCACAGTGGCACAGGGGAGGGAGAGAGAGCAAGACGTGCGCTGCTCGTGTACAAACCCCAAACTTAACATGCGCAAACGCAGTCGGGCAAATCAAACGCACAAATGCGTAGTGACAAACAAACAGCTGTAGTGTCAAAATTGATTTCGCGATTGCGCGTCTGGTCCTGCCATCCTGGAACAGAAACCGGGTGACCCAAAGGGGCGCTGAGGGGGGGAAGTGGTGCGAGTAAAAAAAAAAAAAAAACGTTTTAATCAAGTCGGCGCAACTTTAACTATTCCGGGGAGAAAAAAATGAGTCACGTTAGGTGGTGGTGATGCGCGTCGAGCTTGGAGGAGGAGAGCGGGAGGCGGGGACAGCGCGGAGGCTGCTTCGGTTATTGGTTTGTCAGAAGGTGCGGACAGCTCAGCAGCTGCATCTTCATCCTCGAGAAGAAGAGGAGGGGCGGGGGGGAGGGAAACAGCTGTTGAGGGAGTTCACAAAGACGAGGTGCTTAGTTGTTTTTGATTTGCAAACTGCAGATTGTCTCTCCGGGGAAGCAGGTTACTGGAGGAAGGGAGGGCAAAGGCGTTAACAGGAAGAAAAAAAAAGCGCACGGAGCGACGAGAGTGGAAGTGGCCAACGGAGCGATGTTTGGCATGATCAGAAATTCGCTCTTTGGGAATTCAGAGGAGACCGAGTACAAAGTGCTCAGCACCGAGACTAAGGTAAGCAGAGAGACATCTGTGCGCCTTCTGGACGACGGCTTAGGTTCCGTTTGATTTTTTTGCGCAATTTTACGCACAGATTTTCTGTTGCCCTGTACATTTCTCTCATCAAACTCCCAACTTCAGCATTAGACACATGCAGCGGAATTTATTTTTAAAACGCAAGCCTCTCACTCGCCCTGCAACCTTGGCAGTAAGGCTAATTGTCTGTGACCTGTGAGGATGCCCGCTGACCCACAGCGCGCGCAAAGAAGGAAACCCCGAGGGCCCGTGTGGCTCCACAAGGCAGCAGACACGAATTATGATGGAAAGGAGTGAGGGGGAGGGGTGGCTGCACATCATGGCAGCACCATGCTGGGTGAATCTGTTTTGTCAGGCTGCACAGGCTGGAGCCGGTTGGAGATAAATTCAGAGTGGAGAACGTGTTCGCCTGGCAGCAGGGGGAAATACTCTAAACATACAGCCAGAACCATGTGTTATGTTGGCGTAGTCAAAGTCCAGACCTAAATTCAATTGAGGAACTGGGAAAAAGGACATGCCTCGAGAGCATCCCAGTTTTAACTACAAACAAATGTACGTTTTTCTCATTTTTATTTTTTACAACTATTCATAATTTCCCTTGCATTTCACATTTGTGAACTAGTTTGCTTTGATCATTATGCATAACTGATTATTCTGGACGTCATTTTTAACACACTATCCCCACCTTGAAACGTTTTCACCAACGTTCCACTTAGAAGCAGCTCCTATACTGAGCTCAGCAGATGCTCGGTTCCACCAGGTGTTTGCTAATTGCTGCTGGCTAGTCTGAAGGAGCTGAGCAAATGTTTGATACAATTTCAGATAGTGAATTAAAAAAAGAATAAGTTTTGTCAATTTTAATACACGAGATAAATATCTGGTTTCAACTGTATGGCAAACTAATGTAAATGTATTCTCAACGCAGACTTTATATTCCACCTACTATATAAATAATCAGAATAAGAAACAAACAGCCACTTTGACAGCTGTGAAGAAAAATATTCTTTTAAATGCTTGTTTCATGTTGCTGTGCAGGATGGAACAGCTGGCTTCAAGAGTCTTTCCTAAGTAGCCCGTCTTTTACATGACGTGCGCTTGGCCGTGTCAAAACAGATCTGTCTGTCAGTGAGTGTGTGTGTCAGTATGGGCCGCGTTCTCTCATGTGGAATGGAAATCCGCTTTTATCTCCGTCTCCCACTCAGAACTTGTCTTTTGTTTGCCAGATAAATGAACAAAGGGACTTTGGAAACTCAGCAACACATGGCACATGTGAGCATCCACAGTCCACAGAGGAGGAGGTTTGTTGGTGGTCCTCAAAAATAGACATAAACACAATGCCTGGTAAAAGTTTACATACACCCCTCATGGAGATGAGTGTCATACGGAGAGCCGACTTTTCTTATCGCCGGAGTTTTATTTCATTGGTCTGACTTTGCTTTTTAAGCAAAGCACATCGTCTCTGAGTAGAGTTGAGGTCGGGTTCATTGTAGAAACTTAGTATCAGAAGGTTTTACTCATTTTAAAACCAGTACTGATGAGTGTTTTGGGATCATTGACACCTAATTGTGTCCGAGTTTAAATTATCTGACCCAAATTGTTCTCCTCAGATGAAAGGAAATCAAAATTCAAGCATGTTAGAAGATGTTGGTACAAATCTTGTTCCAAATCCAAAATCTTCAAACTCCAGATCTTTTTCTTCTTTTTTTCCTGACTTAAATGAACTGAAATGTCAGTTTCAAATTTGGATACATACCAGCTTGAAGAAGTTGCAGTGTCCCCCAGTTCTGGCTTATGAGGTTGATTGATGTAGCATTTCAATATGGCTGCTCTTCACATCAGCAGTAGCAAGCTGAGCTGGAAGAATGCGTCTGAAATCAATGCAACTCTAAACTGAACAAATTCAAAGTTGTAAAGGTTCAACTAATGTTTCTAAGAGGTACTGTGAACAATGTTCATGGGCGTCAAAATCTCAACTTCTTACCTGGAACATTGTCACCTCTGCTCTGACAACAAACTCAACTCCAAGTTCCAGGGTAACTGGAACACATCAATGTTTTGGAGTGGCCCTAATCTCAGAACATTTTAGATTAGAGCTAGAAAAGTGTGTGTGAGACTCTTTTTCTCTGGGAATGGGAACGGCCAAAATTCCACCAAACTACTGTAAACTCAAAACATTTGACCCAAGTCACAACCTGTGGCTTTGGAGAGAGTGAAAAAACACCTCTCACCATTATTCAGTCGGCAAACAAATATAATCTAGTTTATCCCAAACGATCCAAAAATGGCAAAGTTCTGGATTTACCGTCAGAAAAAAGGCGCTGAGAGAAAAACGCCTTTTTTGTACGCTCCTTGTCAAGATCTGGCTTCTGGTGCATAAAGCATCTGTCTGACACTTTTAATTAAAACCGACAGCTCCAGAGGTGATGCCAGGTGGGGCACATTCACACGTTCACAGACTGAACAACAGCAGCAACAGTGGGTGAAACTGAGCTCAAACCCCGCTAATGAGCACCGAGCACGAATTTAAAACCAAAACGGCAGAGTCATGGAGCTTTTCTTCTTTTTTTTATTTTTTATTTTGGTGTAAGCACTTTTTTTCTTTTTTTAGGCGGAGGCTAATTACAATGCACATGCTCACACAGACACAGAGCCTGCATGCACATGACAAATTAATTACACTGTTGCACAGAAGAGCACAACTTTTAACGTCGGCCCCAGTGACAACTTCTACAAAGCTAACTCTTTAATTGCAACGCAGGAGCATGTGGATCTGACACGAGATGCAGCAGAAGTGGAATTAAAACCTCTGGAGGCACATTTGTTGAAGCGCTTCATAAAAAAAAAAAGGGCATTTAGTACCTTGAGACTGGGAAAGAGGATTGAAAGTTACACATTTATTTTATGGGATGAAGATCCCATTATCTGAATGATACTTCTTAGCTTCGCAGGTTGCCCAAGGGGGAGGATAATAATTCCAAACGGCTCAAGCACGAGTGAAAAACATAAGAGATGATTTCTCCGTTTCATTTCGTGCTACAGGTGTCACGCTGCGAGCAACAATCATCTTCAGCAGCCCGGCGGTTCATTTTCGAAGCGTTAGAGAAATTAAACCGCAATACGACGCAATTGAATTCCAAGCGACACACTGTGGAACGCTTCAAAAACGACGGCGTGCAGCAGGAGCCGCGACCACACACTCCACGTTGACCCCACACAGTGGCCTGCTTTTAAAGCAGATGTTGGTGCGTCTCCTTAATGCCGGCTGTGGCCGCGGCTGCGCCGTTACGTAACAGCACACACATCTCTGGCCCAGAATTCGCCCGTGAGCTCACTGAACCCTGCAGAGCAGAACGAGACATTTAATCGGATCGGGGCGAATGCGGTTCACGTGGGTCTGCCCACCGAGGGTTTTGTGTGGCCTTTGCGAAGATTATTCACACTCCTTGGACTTTTGTGATTTTTTTTGTCACCTCGAATTTCGAGGTATTTCACTGGGACTTAAGTCAAGAGTTGCTGTGAACTGGAAGGAAACAGATGCTTTCCCTCCATTTGTTTCGAAAATGAAACAAATAACTATGTATCAGAAAAGTGTGGAGTGCTTTTGTTTTTAGGCTCCCTAACAGCTTTATTTCTACAAATGCAATACTTTAGGTGTGTGTTTCTACCAGCTTCACACGTCTTGACACTGACATATCAGTCAGATAGGACTGTTTTACTACAAATTCTCAATTAGATTTTGATATGGACTTTGACGAGGCTACTCTAAGGCGTAAATATGATCTGATCTAATCTATTCCAGTGTAGCTAAGAAAATAGTCCTGCTCATGTTTCATCCTCAGGACGGTGTGCTCATTATGATGTAGGTTGGTGGTGTCCAAAGCGTGGCCCAGGGGCCATTTGTGGCTCTTCAAATTATTTTGTTTGGCCCCTGACCACAAGTGAAAAATGATAATAATTTTGGCCAAAAAATAAATAAAAAAACAATTGATAACCAAAACATTTGGAAATTGCCTGTTGTCCTTTTAATGAGGTAACAGTTTGAATCCCTTTCTATGTTTTGGATTTTTAATGATAAACAGATTTCACAAAAACTGTTTAGTGTTGAGCTGGTAAAACAAAAAATATGTAAGTTTTTGCATTTTTAATTCAATGAACTTTGTTGCTCCCCAGTAGTTTAAAATTGCCAATCATAGCCCCCATGACAAAATGTATTAGACACAAGTGGTGTACACTGATATTTTACTACCCAGAAATATTTTTTACTTTTGGTCAAATCAGACCAGAGTTCCTTCCACCACACATTTGCTGTGACTCCTGTAGAGAAAAGTACAAACAGGACTTTTTTTTTTTTAAGGCTTTCTTCTCACCACTCTTTCATAAATCCCAGACTTGGAGGAATACATGGCATACCAAGCGAAAATTCGTGACACAATCGTCTGTTTTTCAGAAGGGCACCACTTTGTTTGCTCCACAAACTACTAGCATTCTCTCGTTTCTCTTTGCTCCACAGAACGGAGTGGGCTTTGAGGTGAGACGGTACGATGCAGCAAAGTACGCTGCCGTCTACTCGGAAGGAAGGACCTATGAGCAAGTAATCGGGGAGCTGGTGCGGAAACTGCTGACGTACATCGGTGGAAACAATGAGCAAGGTTAGAAAGAGAAACGCTTGAAACCAACCAAACCCCGCTTCGCATTAACGAGACATCAATGCATCTTGCTAAAATAAAGTCGTACATTTCAAATCTACATTTCATTTTCTAAGGTGAAGCCATGGGGATCGCGTTTCCCATCATCATCACGGTGTACCCACGGAACGATGGCGTTTTCTCCCGACGTCTGGCGGTGGGCATCCGGATCCCCAACGCCTACCAACAAGACCCCCCAGCTCCCACCGACAGCACCATCAGGGTGGAGGAGCGGCCCGGCATGACTGTATATGCGCTGTATGTGTCATTTGTGACAGTATATCTTATAATAGTGGGGGTTTTTTGTTGTTTTTTTTAAATCAAGTTATTTGTAAAAGCTTGTAGAATTGGATTAAGAGAGCTCAATCCAACACACAAGAGCTGATACATTTAGTCTATTATTATTATTATGGAAAGTGATCCAATGTTTTCTACTTTATTCACTTTTTATTTGAAGTCGACGCTATGAGTGCAGCCTTGTAGGATCATGGGTCACTGTAAAAGACAAAAAAAACAAAAAAAATATTTGCACAAGTCACTCTTCCAAAATGCTTAAGGACCAAGTAAAGTCCTTGACTTCAAGCTAAAAGAGATGACATGAGCGGTTCAACTGAGGAAACGCACCAACACCCCAGAGACAAAGCTGTTCTGTACAGTGAACTGGACTGAAACACCGCCCAGCTCAAGTTCAGGACTGCGTACTGTAACGGCAACGAAGAAGCTGCAGTTCTCACACAGAGGCAGCGCGAAATACCACACTTTTCATTCCCACTGCATGCGCTGCAACTGTTGAGACATTATAAATGACTACAGGTTGAAATCTACCCTCTCTGTTCCGTTTCTGCAGACAGTTTGGCGGCTTCGCCGGGGAGAGCGAGTATCGGGCCGAGGCCGCCCGCCTGACGCGCGCCCTGGGCGAGACCACGCCCTTTCAGCGCAAGCAGTACTTCTGCTGCAGCTACGATCCTCCGCTCAAGCCTTACGGACGTAGAAATGAAGTTTGGCTTCTACAGGAGGACCCATGAAAGGCCACTCAGGCCCATCAAAGCTTGGTCCTCCAAAAAAGGAAAAAATTCAATCTTCACCTCTGTTAGTCCTACAGCTGTAAACAGAGAATGGGTTCAAAATAAAGCTGGAAGAAGCGAGATTTTCTGTTTCTACGCTTACAAAAAAAACTGTATTTATCATAAGAATGACCAAAAGAAAGGAAAGAAAAAAATATTGGAAACAAAATTAGCTTCCACTAACATATATATAAATATATAGTTTGAGACTTGCATTTGAAGGTGATAAATCCCAACAGAGTTCCCATGTCTTTGAGTACTAACTTGCACATCTTTAAATAACATTAACAACTAGCAACATAAAGAAAGGTTGTTGCAAAAGCAACCTTCTTCTATCTGGTTTAGACAGTGTAAAGTTAAACCATTAAGTGGAATTAAACCTTTTGAATCAGAGGAATGGCAGCTGTGAGGAGACCTTTGGTTGTTTGTGCTACGATTATACAATACTTTGTTATATTTGTCTAAGAATATTCTGTGTTTTCAGGAGAGTTTTGTGTTTTAGTGCATGACATACAAGCTAATTTTTACTTCGTGAAACTCTACAAACTGTTTTGTGACCCATCTGTGCATGTAAGGGTTTTGTGGTCGGTATGAATTTCATTTTTAAGGCTCGAGAGTGTTTTATTGCATAAATAAAAACATTATTCAGTTATAGTCTGTATTTACTGTTCTTGTGTTTTCATTCGTGCGACAGAAAATCAGTCAAAATCTCTCATCATTGTTTGATTATTAAAAATAGGGAAACTCGTATTTAGGAGAGAGTGGAGAGAATAAATCCTGTCTACATTTTGACATAAGCCTTTTGGGGAAGACAGCAGGTGCTGTGGTAAAATAAGACAAATATTTAACTTTTAGGTAGGGGTGCAAGTCATAGAGTAATGAGTTAATCTAAAGTTGATTGATCTCATCGAGCAGCTTACGACTAGTGCGGCCATTTTCTTTAAAAAACCCGAGTTTTCTCTCGTAGCAAGAAGGCTAACCGTCTTTGCATAACACGAAGGGGTACATTTTCACAATATGCTGAAAAAAAACACCATTAAATTTTAACATTATTTTGTGTCAGCTGTATTAAATACGTACCCATTAAAGCGTTTCCGACGATTTCTCTTTGCCGTTCTGGTAGGGCTGCGCCATGTTTAATCCTGCATCAACAGTCAACGTTTAAACGGCGCCCTCTGCTGGATGGCGGCCAAACTACAACACTAGAAAAAGGCCTAAGCGAACTTTTAATAGTTAATCGATTTAAACTAATTTAAATCTAATACAGTATTAATCGGAAATTAATCATGTCAATTAATTGTTTAGATTCCTACCTTTAGGACCTTATGCAAAAAAAAAAAAAACATTATAACACCATGATGGTGGCGCCATCATGCTGTGGGAATACTGGAAGAAAATATATTACAGGTTGCAAAAGACCTAAGGGCTGCAGGTTCATACTTAAAATACAACAGCCAAAAAGAAAAGCAGAGGGTAACAAAAATGCAAGTATTCTGAAAGATGTTCAAAAACTCAAAATGTTTTAAAATCAAGATGGTGTAAGAATAAAAAACAAAAAACATCAGCTTTAATAAATGATTCATTTATTAGATTTTAATTGGAACAAAATTCAGCAGAAAGAAAGAGAACTGCAAAAAGGTATTAAAATACAGACATTTGATTAAATTGGGTAAAGTATCTACTTACTACATCTGTGTGCAAATAATCCAAACAAACAAACTGTAACTGTTGCACACTAAGGAAGATAATATAGCCTGCTGGCCCCATAACACTCAACCTGCAACAAAAGCTTTGCATTCATAAGAATCAACAGCAGCAATCACTCATCAGCCTTGAACTAGGCTCTGTAGCCCTGCACTAGTGTAATTACTGGAGTTCTGGTGTTAGCTTGGATGTCAGAGATTGCACACACACACATATGAAATATTTAAGAATTCTCTTCAGCCCAAACATTGTACTGCTTTTTATCAACTTAAACCATTTCAAAGAAACATGACATTATGAGAAGAGCTGAAAATTAAGCTATTTTATCTTATTTAAATGAATACAAAGGACACATTCATAATAGATTAAGTTGTTGATATTTGCTATATATTAATACACACACAAAAAGAAAGAAAGAAAAACTGAATATTTGCTGTGATGCTGTAAAAAGAGTGTTTTTGTTGTGGAATTTTCTTCAGGAACCGCAATCAAATCAGCAGAAAATGTTTCGTTTGTATGTTTTATTTTACATTCTATAAAACAGCTGTTTTGGTGTTTGGGAATTATAAAGAAAATAACACATTTCCTATCTGAGAAAGTAAGTAAAAGTTAAGATGGTCGGTTTTATAATGACAGAATATCAAAGACACAGTTACGCTGTGGCTGAGAGATCACCGATTGTGCCAGTAGCCTTCAGTTTTTAATCAACCAAGCAGTTTTTCCATCAACTTCACTCGCATCGGAATCTAATTTGGGGAAGCAGTAGGAGTGCCGTCAAGGTGTTCAGTCTTTCTTCTTGTCGGGGGAGTTTGGGTAAGGTGCGTACGGTGGAGGCCGCTCCTGTGGTGGACATAACATAAAAAAATTAAAAAAAAAAAAAAAAAAACACAGTTCAGTGGCGTCCCTAAAACAACGACGGCTGACGACGTCCGTGCAGCTACGGAAGCTTACCGCGGGCATGTAGACGGCATGCGGATTGCTGGGATTATAATACGCGCTGCCTGCCGCTTCGGCCGCCTTCGAGTTACCTGTGCATGAAACAAGACGTGACAGAGACAAGGAGATTAATGCCGACAGTCGTGAACGCAGAACGCGCTCAGGGTGCAGACGCTACAGCTCAAACCACTGTACGCGGGGAGCGCACGGTTAGTCACATGAATCTTAAATGACAGCTCTGGAAAATCCTCCAGACGGAATCAAGCCGCAGTCCCCAAGGAACAGGACGGGAAACGTCCGACTGAACGTCCAGTCAAAGCGAAAGGACGTGTCACCTTGGAACAGTGGGTCCTTGCATATGAGCGCGGGAGGGAAGCGTTTGCTGAGAGCTCTGCATGTGAGGATTGTTTAACCTTTGTAATTATGATGTTCAACACATGAGACACTAGCAGCCCTTCTTTTTATTATTTTTTTTTTTCCCAAAATGATTCATCTTGAAAAGGACAGATGAGATCTGACGGGTGCAGTGGCACAGGCTTAAAACAGAGAGAGCTAGAGAGAGAGAGAGACCAACAAACCTGCAGGAGGTGGGGGGGCGGTCCAGTTCTGAGGGGGTGGAGCCCAGTTCTGAGGTGGCCCAGGGTAAGGAGGGGGCGGGGCCATGTAGTCAAATCCAGATGGGTACATTCCTAAGACAAGGTCAATGGAAGGGAAAAAAAAAAAAAGACAAAGATGTGTACAATTGTGAGACCTAGATTGTACAGCACACAAATATGACAAGACTATCAATGGCTGCAACTAACGATTATTTAAATTAGCAATTAATCGATTGTTCTGACGATTAATCAATTTATCTCACTAAAAAATTGCTGATTTTTTTGCTTAAGCCCTTTTCATGCTGTAATAAAATACATTAAAATATGCAAATAAACAAATAATTCAAGTCCTTTGTTGTAAATAGGAAAATAAAACCCTTTAGTGAATGCTTGATCATTTGTAGCAAAGGATGCATCTGCAGCTAAAAAACATATTCCTCACATCAACGTGTGAAAAGCTCAGCCATTTCTGCTTGGCCAATCTGCTGACTATTTTTTTGGATTAACTGATTAATAATTGGACAGCAAAATGTGCTTAATATGAGTTTTTCAGAATTTGAGGCAGGTAAAGCTAAATCTATGCTACTTAAGTAGGTTTGGACAAAGGTTTATTTTTTATACACATTAGGGCTGATAACTGATCTGATTTTCTTTCAGCAAATGTTTTTGAGTTTGTATGCCCCAGTTAGCAATTAATCTATCACTAAATTAGTTGATATTTAATTTAAAAAAATAAATTTATCACAAATAATTATCATTTTATGTGCCATTTTCATTCCATTTTGTGTGCTACCTTGCAGGAGTCTACTACATAGGAGCCCCATTAAAATGCGTAGAAGTTTGTTGTTGTAACCTCACAAAATGTGAAAAGGTTCAAATAGTGTGAATATCTTATCAAGCCACAACAGATCAGGTTGACATAAAAAGGTCAGAAACATTGTTAAATTCAGTGGTAGGGACAGCCAACTGAAAAGTTAGCTTTAGCAACCCTAAAGCACCAACCATAAACCTCAGTTCTGCTAAAGCGCTATACCAATATGTTACGTAGCAGAAGCTAATGCTAAAGCACTAAATTTAACTACATTGATTCCAACCATGTCAAATTTGTTACAGGACATGTACCGGTATGGTTTGTGCTTCAATTTTATTGTTTTTTTTAGAATGGCAAATTCTGTTGCTAGTTTTGCACAATTTACCCCAGAAAAGCTTCAGTTAAAAGATTTTAAACTGTTTACTGTGTAACAAAAGCTAACTGCGCTAAATGTTTGCAAAACAAAAAACTTCCTCCACCTTGACCATGGTAACGGGAAGCGTGCCCACCACTTATATTACTACATTTTCGATAAAAAGCATTTAGAAACATCTTAACCCATTTTGTACAGTGTTTACACAATTCGAAAGTAAAAGAAAAAGTCATTTTGACTCAAAGCTGTACCTGCTGCTGCCGTTGGATAGGGGTAGCCCATATTGCCAGGAGCAGTGGGAGGGGAAGGACCCTGGTAGAATCCATTCTGCTGGGGAGGGGGCGGGTAAGGATAGCCGGTAGGCGCCGGTGGAGGCGGACCGTACCCGTTCACCATTCCGGGTGAGGGGTAACCATAGGCAGGAGCCCCATTCTGGGCCGGACCAGCACGGGATGCTACAACACAAAAACAAACTAGGCTTTAAAGGTAAAGGAAACAGTGTGTGCTTTTTATTTATGAGCTTAATATCATCCAATATGGAATAAAACAACTAAAAAAAAATAACAAAAATGTGTATACAAACCATTTGTGGCCAGTTTGAAAAGATGCTGCCCCACTTCAATGGCTCCTCCGCTGGGAAATGACATCTTGAAATGAGCCTGACCTTCCCAGCCGCCTGAATAAACAGTTTCGATTAGAGTAGCTCTTAATTACAATAGTTACCCAATTTATCATTGGTTTCCAATCTGCTAAAAAGGACACTCACCACCAGGCTCAGCCGACACGGTGCCTTTGATGTAGTTGGCGCCAAACACTGGTTGCTCAATGCTGCAGCCTTTCATCAGATAGTAGGGGAACATGGCTGAGCCTAAGCAGTCCTTGTTGTTGCTGGACACGAACATCAGCTGAGAAGGTGAATACAAATAAAAATTGTGTGAAAAACATGAGGATCACAGCAGCATCCTGAGCATGTTAACTGTGGAAAAGTGAGTTACCCTGTATGGAGTTAGATAAATGGTGCCTTTCTTGGTCCCTTTCAGCAGATCAGTCTTGCAAGAGAAGTCGCTGAATGACAGCTCCACATTCTTACATTGTCTTAAGACACTGACAGGACAATGGAGAGATAAAAGGTTAAAAAAATTAAACAAACAACAAAAACTGTCAAACAAAGTGAATATCCTTACTATGAATCATTGGCGTTGTAGAAAACAATATGACATCTTTGCCATATATAATGTATTCTAGAATATTATTAGACTAAGCTAATCTCTAGAGATGCACCAGCTAATTAGTCAGAAATTAGCCTAAACTGGACTGTAATCACATCTTCCAACAAGATGTACATTGATGCAACTTTTTAGCATAACAGTTAGATAAAAGTCAGGGCTGTATACTTCAGTGCAGTTTCTTTTTGTTGTTGTTGTTTTAACACATTGAGATTATAAGTAAATATAAGTGTCAATTTATATTCCTTTCAAAGAATGTGGAGTTTTGGTTTCATTATGGTAAAGTCTATGGTAGTAATTGGGTCAACTTCTCAATGCAGTTAAGTGCTTTGAGTAATTTTAAAGATGATGTAAATAAATATAAAAGGCCAAAGCTCTGTGACATTTTAGGTAACTTCGGTATTTTCGATATTCGATATTTGCTGTTTGTAACCCGAGGTTGCGTCAAATTGGTGCGTGATGAGATTATTGCTGTAGCAAAGTGTCAACATGAGAAAAGCAGCCATTACTTCCTGTTATGACAGACGGGGCTAACGAAATGAGTTAGCCAAAAGCAAAACTAAATTTCACAAAAACGTAGGGGTAACAAAAAAAGAGACAGCATTACATTTTCGGTATATTGTTAAAAATGTAAAGGTTAAGTCAGAAATTCGGGGTGTTAAAAGAAAGCGCAACTGCTAAGCAGGCTAGCTTTGCTAATGTTATCCCGTGAGCTAGCTCCACCTAAAGAGATGTAAACAAGCTTCGTGACGACACGACAGCTGCTTACTTTATTACATAAACCCAGAAGAAACCCCATAAAACACGCACCTTTCTCCGTTATTGATCAAAACTCCGCCGTTTTGCGAATGGTTCCGATTTAGAGCCATGTTCAGGAGCCGTGTGAAACTTCTCCTGTTGCCTGTGGTCAATGCTAAAGCCTGGAATCGTCACAGAAGAACGTTCACGGATGACACAGCGCTTACGTCATCACACCATCTGGTAACTCGTGACCTGACTGGAAGTTTTCTTGCTTGTTCTTCTTCTTCTTCTTTAATTATCATTGAATAACAGATATGTTCTTCAAATATCTGTTGAACACTTTATGAGAAAATGATTCAAAATAATATTAACTTTGTACAAAAACTACTGTGAATGAAAAAATGAGTCCATAAACATGCTCAGTTTTTGAGGATGTTTAATGTTCCAACATCTGTGCGAGACTGTATACTAATTACAGTTTAATTTATCTGTACTGTACAGTTCAATATGGTTCAAAGTAGTTTTGTTAAATTGCTACAAATCAAAAAATGGATGCAACTCTAAGAAAAGATATTGTTACTATTGTCATTAATAGTTTGGATGAAAAAGGTAATAAAATGTAAGTTCTACACTTCATTGTCATTCATTGTCCTGTGGTTAATTGTTGTCAGTTTCACTGAAATAATGACTTTATATATATTGACTAATGATCAAAAAAGGATGAAAGCTCAAAACGTCTCACCTCAAGGCTGAATTGGTAAAATATTTTAAAACCTAGAAAGAGTTAAGAAACCTGACAAACTATAAATAATTTTATTGCAATTAAATGTTTTCTTTAAAACGTACGACATTGTATGGAGCTGAATTGGGGCCATGAAGCTTGTTCAAAAAAGCTTTTTTGAAACTGAAAGACAAATTTTGAAATATCCATCCTTTGTGTCTTTATCTTTTTGCTTTGTATTGTAAATGTTCTAATTTTCGTGGTAATTTTTATATCTTCATATGCTAGATTTAGAATACAGTTGCCAATTTTGATTCACATAAAAATTATTATTATTACTATTATTATTTTACTTTTCTTCATTTTCACAGACGTGTTAGTTTTCTGTTTTAACACTACGTTGGCAAGCCATTTTTTTAACTAACAAGTTTATGCGCCGTTTAAAACGTTCCTCGACACTCTCACTATATCATTTTTGGCCTCGGAACAGTATCTGCTATTTATTCAGTATATAATTTTACAGTTTTGATTATGAAAATAATTAATCGTGATGGGTTGAACTTCATCAGATAAATGTCGGTAGAATGGAAACACGAAGCTCTGTGCTCCTCTGATTGAGGAAGAAACAAGCGCTGGACTAATTAACGCTAATTAGCACGAGTCACGTGACCTTCACTTATAGAATCACACAAAGGTCTGGGAACCTTGGAGTCAAGAAAGAAAGACAAATAATAATACAAATTAAAAGGAGATGAGTTACAACTGCATGAAAGCCAGACTGGTTTCTTTGGTTTTGATATTGATGGCGCAGGGCTGTTTCTGCGTCTCCAGCTTTCAGGGGAAGGAAAAGCGGGCGCAAAACGCACAGCTGGCTTTACCTGCCGTCACCTGCTCAGTCCGTGGGATTAAAGCGGTGTTTGGTCCGCTGGTCACGAATAAACTGCATGTCAGAGGTAAGATCACAGCTGTTACCCATTTCAGTCATTTAGTTTAAAATACCTCAAAGTTATTTCTAATTAATCTCTTATCCACCCTCCTCCCCTTGGAAATACTCCCTCATAATTGCGTTTACTTTGTTGTTGTTTAGACGTATCAGGTACTCCAGTCCCTTTAGTTAATTCTAGGAGATCCTGTGGAGTGAAGGTGGGTAAAGAGAAGAACCAGAACCTCTCGTTTTTCAGCAGATATGACAGCTGCTACGCAAGGATAGAGGTCATACTTTACTTTATTAGAAAAAAGAATGTAAAGAAAGTATAATCCAAAACCTCTGTGCATTGCATGTTTGACCGTTTTCCCCTCTGCAGGGCAACAAAGTGGTGATCCCGCTGATGGTCCAGTTGACAGGAGAGAACCAATGGATCAGAGTAAACATCAGCTGTCCTCTGATCAAGAGAAGCAGTCAGAAAACCCAGCCGACGTTGTGTAGGTGACCTCTGACCTCAACATCAACAGGATCCAATGGATACTGTTAAAGTCTTCCCACATGACTTTCTTCTTGTCGCACTCAAATCTGTTTAAGCGAACAATTTTCCCCGACAAACTGGACTGGTTGTACTTAGGAATCACCCAGCTCTTTTCTTCCTCCCACTTTGAGTTAGTCTGTCACATAATCAGTATTGTATGTTAAGGAATTTTGAGTGTTTCAAAATGTGGAAAATCATAACATTGAATGCTTGGTTATTGTTATTAGCTTCTTCTCCAGCTTCCCTCGGTGAATGCAATGCTGATGAGTCCCTGCGTTTAAACTGTGGTCACCAAAGCATCACCAGCAATGCCTGCCAAAAACTGGGATGCTGCTACGATGCTCAGTCTCCCGCCTGCTACTACAGACTTGATGGTAAAAGGAACATTTCACCTGTGAGAGATTGTAGCGCGTACAAAAGAGAAACAAACCCCCTTAATATTTTACCAAACTAATTCCTTGTGTTGCCTTTTTTTGTTTGTTTAGCATGCTCTCTGGATGGACACTTTGTGTTCACGGTCAAGGCTACGGACACCCATCCACCCATTGACCCCGGCAGCCTCGTGATCAAGGATCAGCCTCACTGTTTGCCTGCAATCTCAACTTCAGATACTGCCGTCTTCAAGATGGGAGTCATGGACTGCGGCGCGAAGATGAGGGTAACCCATCACGTCTCAACTTGGTTTCATTTCCAACTATGGAGAAGAAGGAAGTTCAAACCGTTTCTCCCGTCAGTCATAATGGACAACAGTCACATGACATCCGCAAACTCCAATTTCTCTGTTAGAACGTCAGTATGTTGACGAAAAGATGGATGGAGCTTAAATGCTGGATGGTCCTGGAAGAAAATCTGGTGGAGGCTCCAGGAAAAAAAATGAACTATGACCCTAAACATTTAGTCCAGATCTAACAAAACTGACACTCAGATTCTCTCTATCCAGTTTGTCTAAAGCTATTCGACAACCCAACAGACCGGCTGCTACAACTGCAGCCAAATGTGCTTCTGTGGCATTGAATGCCAGAATTTTCCTATGCACCCTGTTCCATCCTCTTTAAAATGTTGGCACTACTTATGTTGGTTTTAGTTTCAAATAGTTTCTCACTTTAAATGTCCAAACTGACATTTAAAGTGGAGGCTATAGTATTTGCTTTTCCTTCTAGAAAGATGGCAATCTGGTGATATATGAGGTTGAAGTGGAGGAGCAGAACAAAAAAAGGAAAAGACATTCACCCTTCAGGTATTGCTCACCCTTTTCTTTTCTTCTGGTGGTATAAATGAGCTGATGAAATGTTGGAGTTGTTTTTTTAAGTCTGCAGGTTGAGTGTGAATATGACGAATCTGACCTGAAACATGCAAAAGACTTGAGGTCTTTGTACACCGTGACCAATCCACCAGCTGTAGTGGCACAGGGAGCCATGAGGGTGCAGATGAGATTAGCAACAGGTACCAGGATCTTCTCTGTTTCTTTTTTTTTTTTTGCAGCTTCAGCTGCTCAAAACCCATTCCTGACCTACTTTGGTTCCCTTCTAGATTCTTCCTTTACCACCTTTATCCCAGAAGACCGGCTTCCCCTAAAGCTTCCACTGCGTCAGACGGTGAATGTGGAGATCTCCATCGTCCCACCGTCCCCTGACCCTGCACTCTCGCTGCATGTGCGAGACTGCTTTGCCTACCCCCGGTCTAAGCACTCTGTGTGGACCCTCCTCCACGATGGGTTAGTCGGGCCTACAATGCGTCAATCTGACAGTCATGTTGGAACCTCAAAGTGGAATGGTTAATGTTTTTTTTTCCTTTCCCCTGGACAGATGTCCTAACCCTCTAGACACCATGAGGAGCTCTGTCCCTGTGGACAACCAGGGGAAGACCACCACCTACTCTCAGGTCAGGCGCTTTGATGTGAAGACCTTTGCCTTCTTGGACCCTGATACTGGCAAACCAAGTGTGGAACAGGTACCCTTATCTAATTTTACATTTGGTTTTGGATATTTTTAAAACCTGCTTTAGCATGCTGTTAGCCTTTATAAGACTCCATAAGACCTTTTTGATGCTGCCTTAAATTAAATTTAATTCAATACCCTGTATTGAATTGATTATTGGGAGGTTTTGCAATCAAACAGCAGATCCTGAAATTTCTGGGGTCTGTTTCTCACACTGCATATGGCTCTCTTAACCCCCACATGGGCTAGCTTAAAAGTTTTTGGGGTCTTTTTGATTGATCAAGCACAGAATGCGACTGGCCTCATATGGCTTTTCAACAGAAATAAACTAACAATGATTGTCATCAAAGCTAACTCATAATGGATGCAAAAAAGCCAGCTAGTTAGGTTACTGAGGGTATTTTAGCAGCTAGTTGTTGTTAGCCTCAGCTACCAGAACACAGTGAAGATGTCTGTTTGCTACTCGAACATTTGAGAGAAAAGACCAGCAAGCAAAACTACGAGATTAAATAGTCCTGTCACAACAAGATTTAAGATCTGTAATTGGTATATTTAAGGCCAACTCTGTTGTATGAATTTAAGACATTTTAAGGCCTTAGTTTTAGAGGCATGAATTTGAGGCTTTTTAAGGATGTGCGGACACCATATTTTGATGATATAACTATGGCTGCTAGCCCAGACTAGCGGTCTGTGGCTGCAATAAGTGAGTCTTAGTCATGTTGGTTGAAAACCGTCAATTTCTTTTAGAAATGTTAAAAATACTAAAATGTAAATAAAATTTTTAAGAGTATAAATGAGGTGCATCGCTGCTGAACTAGCATAATTTAATTCCCTCTAAATATAAATACTTTTAAAGAATATTTAGAGAGAGATAACGCTACTGAAATAAGCTTATGCTACATGTCTAATGAATGCGGCTCTTTTTAGATGTACTTCTACTGTTGGGTGGAAATCTGCACAGAAGATGTGGACTGTGCCCAGCGTTGTACCATCATCTGTAAGTATGACTTTCATATATATTTTTCTTCTGTATTTTTTTTTCTTTAACTGTGTTGTACCCCCGCAGCATCGGATGCGGAGCGACAGAGGAGGCAGACCGCTCCTGCATCCCGTCAGATCCAGCTCGTATCCGTAGGCCCGCTTCAACTGGTCCACGAAAACGCCGACCTGGATGACCTCCAGTGTGGAAAACTGAGCAAGGGTAAATATTTCAGATAAAGCGCTCGGCACGTTGTTGATGGTTGCATCATAATGCAGCTTTTCTCCTCCTTCCCCAGCGTTCAGAGTGATGGTGTATGTTCTGTCTGGCGTTGGTGCCGCCCTGCTGCTGATCCTGCTGTTTGCTCTTTGGTCAAAGATCCAAAGATGTGGCTGCAAGCAGAGGGCCGGCACATGAGATCACTTTAAATAAGCAGAATACGTTGATCTGCATTATTATTTGCAATGAGTTTGTTTTTTTTTTGTCGCTACTCTCCAAGTTTAAGTTTCACTTCTAAATCGTGCTTTTGAGGATTTAGAGGAAGAGGAAATGAATTTCTGTAGCTCTTCTAAAAAATAAAGTGCATTTCCATTCTTGCTTTGTACACAATTTCAGCCTTGGGGCTTCTATTTTTTTTTTTTCCAATTATAAAAATCTTAATAAAATTACAGTTATGAGATTTTGCACGGTTTCTAGTTTGTGAGAGACTCCATGACACAGTGGCTTTAAGATCTCAAAGGCATCTGACACAAAGAACCTCAACTGTGTCCATTGTTGTACAAAACCAGTTATCAACTGGATAAATCAATCTGGGTGGAGATAAAGTATCATTTGCAATTAAGCAGGATATAACTAAAATGTTAAGATAACGGCTCTTATCAGAATAGAAAAACGGTGTATATAGTGTATCTGATTTAGATTTATGCAAAGATGACTTGGCTCTACATCCATTACCCAACCACAGCCGAGCAAATTGCATCACTGCACTCTCCTGCTAATGTGCGTTTCCTTGACAACAAGATGGATTGGTTTAGAAATGGGACATCTATAAAGATGTTTGATATGTAAAAAAATATAAAAGCAAGTCAAAGTTAAGATCAGAGCTCCAGCAGAATGTCAGACATGGTGAGGAGCCTCTGGAAATGATATAAAAAAGCAGGATTCATAAAATGAACACAATTGATCCTAAAGATGGATTGTTTTGACTATCATATTAAACTCTGTATCATTTTCCTTTTACTATACTGTGTAAAAGTGTATTAAGAGCTCAGAGACTGCAGCTCTGAGGAGGAGTTGCGCCTCAAAGGCGGAGCAGGCGTATGGTTGCCACGGGAGATTCAAGGATTGAGCATTATAACAAGCTTTACTGTTTCTTCAACTTGTTGTGTTAAATCCTTCACTTAAAAAAATCCCCAAAAGTCTCACTGACAGTTAGCCATGAAAATACAAACGGGTTTATTAAATGAAATTCCAAGGATATGGTTCAACTAAGAACAGAAAAGCAGTGAAGTGAGTCAAAAGCGTGCGGTTTGCTTCAGTACGGCTTGAACTTCCTCTGCGCTCTCATCAGAGCGATTCGCTGTTTATCCTCCTCAAACTTCCTCCTCAGCTCAGCGATATCTGGGAACGGATCAAAGGGAGAAACGGTTCAACAACTCCTCCACCTCCAACGTGCTCCCTTAGTTCAGCGCCATTAAAGTACGACGGACTCACGTTCTTTCTGCGTGTTCTTGTGCTGCCAGGTGTAGAAGTTCATCAGCTCCTTCCTCCTCTTCTTCCTCGCCTCCCGCTGCAGCGTCCTCTGGTTGGCGGCCTCGCTGTGGGGGCGAGCCTTGGCGCCCTTGTGACCTCTCGTGACCTTCACCCAGCCCTCCTCGTCCTCCTGCTGCTTCTCGGCCTCCTGCCTCTGCCGCTCCGCCTCCTGCAGCAAAAACGAAGCGTCAGGTTTTAAGTCGCTCGGACGTCGATGGGACGAGCCGTGCTGCTTTTACCTCTTCTTGCCGCTTGTCGTAGTCCTGCATGAACGAGTCGACCGTCTGCTGCAGTTTGTCGGGGTGGATGATGGACTTTGTGTACTGCTGGATCCATTCTGTCATGGGGGAAGACGCACCGATCAACACGCGTGTCACATGTACCAGAAATGCATCCCCACGTTTCACCAAGGCAACAGTGAGCTCCTCTTGATGGGCAGTGTTAGATTTTTTTTTTTCCCCCTCTCATATATCAGTTTGCAATTCTTCGATGTAGTTTTGGTTTGTTGTGTTGCCTTTGTGGCTGCTGCGTGATAAAAATGACAATTTGTTCTCAATTTACCTGGTTAAATAAAGGATAACTAGAAAAAAAATATGAACAAATTTTTAGAACAAAATGAATATATAAATGAAGAAAGCCTGTTGTGGATGTTACAGAAAAACTCCTAAAATGACGATTTCTTGTTGCATTCCCAGTCAAAAACATTTCCGTTTTGGTTTTCCAATCACATAAAATCTGTTGCGACTATTCGGTGTGTTTGTGATGTAAAACGTGACGGAAAGCTCACTCTGTACTCCAGTTTTCACTGGTTTCTGCTCTGTGCTGACCACCAAGGGTTCATCATGCGGATGGGATTTAGCTGCTGCTATGCTGGAGGAGCTTTCAAACACAACGTAGCCGACTTTGAACCCCTGGAAGACATGAATGGAGACACAATGAACTCGGCTGCTCTTAATATCAGGAGCTGAAGAGATGGAAAAAACACACACAGACTGACCTGTTTGTCTGCTGGTCTGAAGATCTTGGACAGTTTGGGTCCAGACTCCTGAGAGGAACCCGGGACATCCCTCAGCTCTACTGAAGCAACAACGCCAAACTGGGAGAATAAGTCTTTGATGACACTCTAAAGAAC